AGCACAATTTGAGTGCCATGCGGATGCCAAAATACTGACCGTTGATGCTGTGGCAATCTAAGAGGACAGAAATCCTCAGGGAAAAGAGAGCGAGACGGAAAGGCTGCCTGCAGAAGTGTACTGACCTAGCTGGAGAATACGCTGAGAAACAACAGCGTCACATGTTGCTATTTTTATTTCATAAAGGTTTCCATGGTGTAGTAGCAATCCTTTTTTTTAATCGACCCTGGCATACACAATGGAATACTACTCAGCCAGAAAGGGGAGTAAAGTCTTGATATATCCTGCAACATGAATGGACCTCAAAGGCGTAATGCTGCGCAAATTAAGTCTATGGCAAAGGGTGGATACTCTACGATCTCACTTACATAAAAAGCCAGAACGTGCAAGTGCACAGAGACCAAAGTTAACTGGGGGTTGCTAGGAGCCCTCGTGGTGCAGTGGGGAAGACTGGCCTGTGATCCATAAGGTCAGTGGTTGCAAACCACTAGTGGCTCCATGGAATGCAAGGCTTTTGACTCCCTTAAAGAGATGCAGTCTCGGAAACGCACAGGGGTAGGGGCCGGTCTCCCCTGTCCTATGGGGTTGCTATGAGTCAGTACTGACTGGACACCAAGGTGTTTGCTTTTTGTCTGCCCGTTTAAGGACCGGGAGGGACAGGCAAGCGGGGGGAATTCTCCTTAGGTACACAGTGATGGGAGAATCACCGAGATTAAGGTAAGGGTTTCACAGCCGAGTAATATAGTTGATGTCAGTAAGTTGTCCACCTGTGAAATGTTGTATTGGCAAGTGCTGTACGATGGATATATTGATAACAAAAACCAAAAAAAAAAAAAAAAGAGCAGCTGCTGAGGTTGCCTATATACAACCAAACTCCTCAGGAGACTTGGTTCCTTGGTTTAGAGGTTGAGGGCCATGTTTCAGGCAACACTACAGATCCCTGGCCCAACTTTTAATCTGCTCTAGTGCTTCCATACTACTCTTCTTAGGAGGACAGCAGCAGGCCCTGCAGTGCGCCGTCCTGTGGCACACGGCTCGCTGACAGTCAGACCCATTCCCCTGGCACGGAAGAACAATCAGAGCATTGTGCCCCTAGCCTGGTGCAGAGTACCTGGGGCCTTAAAGAGCTCAAACATCCAGAGCACAGCAACTGGTCTCTATTTGCCTGGAGGCACAGAGGAAGGAGGAGAGCCAGGAAGAGGAGGAAGGAAGTGGAATGTGGGAGGTTAACTCCCTCCTTGGGACCAGAAGAACTGGATGGTGCCTGGCTCCCATTCCTGAAGGTTCTGAGGAAAGGCCACCAGGAAGAATTCTAGGCAACAGGAGGGAGAAACAGAAAAGGACTTTAAATTCTCGTGTGATACAATCTTCCTGGCATCCTGGCGGCTGGAGAAACCACTGAAACTATGGTCTTGTGCTAACTTTTAAGCTTTCAACCTAAAGCGTCCCCAGAAGTCTTCTTAAAACCAAGCAACGGCACAGCGCATGAAAGAAGGTCTCCCTGGAGCGCTGTGCTCTGGAAGAACAAGCGCTCTGGGACCCAGCTGGTGGCAGCACCTGGAAAGGCTGGTTGGGAACCTGGGGGGCAGGGGGTGTCTTACGCTGCTGAGGGAAGCAGGACTCAGAAAAGGGCTGAGAAGGGGCACACATCTCCCAGGTTACGATCACTGTGTGATTACTGTACACGTAGGAACTGTTGAACTGGTGTGTGTCTGTTCTGCTGTGTACATCCTCGATAACAAGAAAATAATTAAGTTCTAAAGGAGAATATAGAGCATATATTTAAATATATATATTTAAGCATAGAACACCAAAAAGCACCTGCAACTAAATAAGACTCGTCCATGAAGTAGAGTTTCAATTTCTGAATCC